AAAAAAATTAATACTACGCTAGTATAGCTTCACTTTAAAAGTTTCTTCTCTTGGGCACCCCATCCGAAAATATATTGTGTAGCATTTAATTAAGTTTATTGTAATAATTTTAAAAAATATTTTTTATTACTGATTTTCCAAGTTTACAGTCATTAGAAAAAATGCCACATAACGATTCTTTCAACATTTCAGCAGTAACATAAAAAGTATGAAATGGCTCAAAATTATTAAAATCTGCTATATTTAAATAAAATTTGCGATATTGGCAAATCTACAACTAATTGTAATATACACCCATTGTCGCACGATAGTCGAATTTATTTTTCCTTTAGCCCGGAGTTTTCAGGGCTAGCATCAGAATACATGAACAGGGATTTTTAGTCTTGGCACAGTTTCCACATCGTCACAATTTAAAAGCTCAATCCCGAAAAATGTGCTACGATGGCATTTGCATTAAGATGCGAAATAGAACGCGAGGATATGGTGGCATTAAAAATTTAGTATTTAAGTCTTTAAAAATTATGTGGGCACTTGAAAATTGTAAATATTCATTTTAATACTTAATTTCTACATTGACCATTTTTAACACTGAGTAATTTCGAACATTATTAGTTATTATACAGGTCAAATAAACCGCGTCTTAGATATTTTGAAATCCCTGGAATAAAGTTAAACGAAGAAAAAACTAAATACATGGTCGTATCAAAAAAGGAACGACAGCGAATAAGACTAAACATTACCATAAACGATCATAATTTTGAGATGGTCAAAGAATTCAAATACCTAGAAGCAACAATTACCAGTGAAAACACAGGAGAACAAGAGGTTGAGATACGAATACTGGCGGGGAATAAATTATTTTTTGCCATTCAACATCTAATGAGGTCAAAGCTTCTCTCAAGGCGTGCCAAAATCCAAAGGTACAAAACCATAATACGACCAGCAGTGACATATGGAAGTGAAACATGGACATTGAGAAAAAAAGAAATCAATAAGCTATTAGTATGGGAACGCAAAATCCTGCGAATTATATATGGTCCTTGCAGGGACAGCGTGACAAATGAATGGAGGAGCAGATACAACAATGAAATAGAGACTCTCTTCGGGAAAGGAAACATCGTAAGATACATAAAAGCCGATAGATTAAGATGGGCAGGCCACGTGGTACGGAGTGATGACGACAGACTGATTAGCAATGTGTCTTGGGAAAGACCAGATGGTAAAAGATCGACAGGAAGGCCTAGAAAAAGGTGGAAAGACGCAGTCAGGGAAGACCTGGAGAAGATGGAAGTAAGGCCATGAGAAATAATAGCACAGGATCGGAATCCATGGAAGGCAATAGTAAACGCGGCAAAAACTCACGAATAGTTGTAAAAGCCAATTATGATGATGAATAAAGTTGAAAGTTTTGAAGGGTCGTGATATGGTTCCATCTAAAATAATTTTACATCTGTCTGCAATATGAAATCACTAAAAGGTCATACATATTATGTTTATAATTTAGACAAAAATTATAGTTCGGACAATATATTAGGAGGAGACTTTACACAAGCATTTTTAAAAACTTCCTAGTGTAGAAAAGATTTGGATTTATAGAGTGTAGTCCGTAGCTCATCAACATAATGTGTTGTCAGTGTTTGTATTAAAAATTTGTTCAATAGTGGTTTGTCTTCGTAATTTTTTTTAATTGCCATCAAAGGTAGAGGAGACACCTTTGTGAGCTACTAGCAGTCTGAACAATTGAAACACACCTATGCATGTCTGATAAGAGACAAAACGTTGAAATCCTGATTGTATTATAGTGTTAAAATGCAGACTTGATCTTATATTCCAATAAACTATCATTTTTAGCTTTTACTAACTATTACAATTATTAATATTTGTTTTTTGTTCCAATTATGAGATTATTTTTAGTTACAATTATGAACTTGATAAAACTTCCTAGTTTTTTTTGTTTTATTTATAGCATATAGCATATGGCAAAGTACAGAATTATATGAAAGGTTACCCAGAAATGATATAGTACTAATGGTTGGTGACGTCAATGCAAAAGAAGGCAAAGGAAACCAGTATAAGGAAGTAACAGGGAAAGAAACTATTCATGACGACACAAACGATAACGGAAGAAAATTATGCCAACTAGAAGCAATAACATATAGTTACATTATAAGCACAAACTTCATGAACAGAAGAGCATGTAGTTTGTGCTTATAATATCCAAATATAATATCCAAAAAAATAAAAAGCAATAATGCACGATGTTTGATGATATAGAGGAGCAAACGCGGAGACAGGCCATTTTCTAGTAACAGAACAAATCAAAATGAAGATAATTAAAACAGAGAGAAACATACAGAACAAAAGAAGATGGAACCTAATGGAAATAATACAGAACACATATGAAAAAATATAAAAAAATCCATTTTGAATTCAGCAGAAGAGGTGCTAGGACAGAGGGAAATAAAAAGAAGGAAAGAGTAGTTTGATGCAGAATGCCAAATCAAAATCAAACAGAAAAATCAAGCAAAAGGTAAATAAATATCAACTGAAGAAGATCATTATCAAAAAGCAACGGATAATTGTTGCAAGAACAAAAAAAATCGTGGATGGAAGAGCTGTTAAAGGACCTAAAAAATAATAGTAAAGACAGCGCCAAACTATTTGGATACCCAAAAGCTCAACAAAGAAAAAGCAAAACAGTAGTTAAAATTAACAATAGATTATGGGAAACACACTTCACAGAACTATATAGATGCAAAGAATATTTAGATATCATTCACAAAAAGAAACAGAAAAAACACCTGGCCCAGATGAAATTCTCAATGAGTCAATTAAAAACGAAGAGGAAAAGTTATTAATAAGCATCTATAACCTAATAGCTAGAATATGGATAAGCAAAAAAGGCCAAGGATTGGAAATGAAGCAGAATTATACCAATATTTAAGAAAGGAGAAGTAACTAACAGTAATAACTATAGAGCAATATCTCTACTGAGCACAACATATAAAATTCTAACAGCTCTCATCAAATAAAAACTCACTCAATTCGCAGAGAAAAAAATTGTGGACTACCAGCAAGGATTCACTACCACTACAGATGAGATCCACATAGTTACACAAACAATCGAAAAATGCCACGAACACAACATAGAACTCCACATCCCCTTCGTAGACTTTAGATAAGCCTTTGACTGTAGTGGACGAAATAAATTATTTAGTGAAATGAAAAATCAAGATATAACAGCAAAATTAATCAGATTGACAAAAATCGCCATGAATGGAGCTCAAGCTAAAGTAACAACAGAAGAAGGTAGCACATAAGGCGATTCCTTGTCAAACACATTATTCAACATAGCAGTAGAAGGAATAGTCAAGGCCAGCAAAATTAAAGGAACTGTAGCCCACTCCTCAACATAAATAGTTGCATATGCAGATGATCTAGTTCTTATGAGACGAGATCAGGAAAGATTAAAACAAGCAGTAACAATCCTGGTAAAAGAAGCACGGAAAAAAGGTCTATAAATTAATGAAGGAAAAACAAAATATCTACTCTACTCTACTCTAGAAGAGAAGATAACAAGACGAGAGAAATCAAAATAGAAAACTACACTTTTGAAAGAGTCCAATAGTGTATATATTTGGGAGTGATAGTGACTGGCCAAAAGAATAAAAGTGAAAAAGTAACAGAACGAATTATGTATTTATCTTCCTTTCATATCATTTATCGTAGAGCGATTTACTATCGCCCATTTTTTTATTGTTTCTCCTTCGTCTTATACAATACAGCCATTGTCTTTTTTTATAATTTTTAACACAAACATATTATTTGCCTAAATTCCCCTAATATTTTACTTTTCATTTTTACAGATAGTGTTACTTTCCAGGTACATTTTGTGATGAACAGAGCAAATGAAATAATATTATCGATCTATTATTAAAAGCTAGAAATAAAGCATTACAATTTTTTTTTTATTTATTAACGGGATACCACCCAATTTAATATATACACAAAGTATTACAAGTATTATTTAGTGATACAATAATTATAAAGATATAGTAAATATGTATGAAAAGAATTGGCGATGCAGCTATATAGAAAAAAAAAACAAATTATTAAAATTATATAAAACACATAGCAAATATAAATCACATAAAATTACAAAATTTTTTTTAAACACATTCTACAGACATTTTCCGAAGCGCACAGCAATAAATCAAAGTCTATTCTATTTCCATTTAGAATTATTCTACTCAGTGGAGAATGCCTACCAAAGTTAGAGCGATGAAATTTAATTGCAAAATTATGAGATGTTCTAGTAACTCTAGAGGGAACATTAAAGTCAATTAGAGACAGTAGATCATTGCAATTAATTTTTGAATTCAGTAGTGAAGAAACAAAACATCAGCATACATCCGTCTGGAAGATAGCCTAAGAAGGTTTAATGTATTTCTAATTTCTGAGTAGGAATGGTCGCTTAAAGGTTTGTGTAATTTATAACTTAAGTACCTAATGAATTTATTTTGGACTTTTTCAAGCTTGGCTATATGGACTTCATAAGTGGGTGACCAAACGACTTAGCAATACTCAAGAACAGATCTAACTAGGGAATTGTAAATCAGTCTGATGGAATTAATGTTATGCAAACATCTAGAGGTTCTAATAATGAAGCCTAACATTTTAAATGCCTGGTTATTCACATAATCAAAATGAGCGCAAAAATTTAGTTTGGAATCTAATTGAACACCTAGATCTCTTACAGTTGAGACAGCCTTTAGTCAGCTAATTTCTAATTATAAGAGAGGATGTTAATTATTCTACAGAAACTAATAAAGTGACATTTTCCAACATTAATGCTCATTTGGTTCCAATTGCACCAGGCCATAATTTTGTTAATATCAATTTGGAGTTTTTCACAATCTGAGCGTTTTGAACAATCAATTGTTCCTATAAATACTACCTTTTTTATTTATGTTAGTTAATTTATTTATTTTAATTTTCAGATTTGACTGCGGTTCAGGCGTAGGCGTCGTGCGATCCGAAGAAACAGTTCTCCTAAACCAATGGAATCATATCACACTCTACAGACATCGATGGGACGCTTGGCTTCAACTCAACGGTGGAAAACACGTCCAAGGTCGCAGTAAAGGACTGTTTTCCAGAATCACTTTCAGGGAACCGCTGTTTATTGGCGGACCAGGAAATACTACAGGATTGACTGAAAAACTGCCCGTCTCGAAGGGAATGCGGGGTTGTATAAGACATCTAGAAGTGAATGATCATACGTATAAGTTTGCGCTAGAACCTCAAGGAGAAGCTACTAAGGGTTATGGAATTGGTATGTATAATATTTTTGTCATTATACAAAATGTCTCAATTTATTTCTAGAGTCTGTCTATTAAAAGGACCAAGTTGAATTCCTATTTGAAAATTAATACATTTCATTTTATTTCAACTGATTTCTAAATTAATTTTTTACTTAGAACAAGTAAAGTCATTAAATTTAGGACACATTAGACCGTCTCGGTGAAAAGTCCCTTAACGTGAAATCAAATCTCTTCCGTCAAGGGAAGTGATAATAAAATATCTTTCTAAGGACGCAAGCGGCGACATCTAAAAATAAAGCAAAAAGTCAAAATCCGAAGATTTCTACTACATGTTCGAAACTAAAATTCAGATTCGCACTCAAATCTGTACCTTCTACAATATTCAAAGCAAAGAGATGATGAAATAAATTGACATGATGAATCCATAATTGCATTCCACATCATATTCTTTCATCTAAGTAAGGACAAAGAGTCTCTAGAATATATAGAGAGGGAAGAGTTAAAATCCCGTGATTTTTTAAGTAGCTTCTGCAATGTTTTATTCTACTAAGGCCAAAAAGATACCGCATTGTTATGTTTTGTAATGTAGTGTCATCTAAGCTTTCTAAAGACTCATACAGCGACATCTAAAAATTAATATTTAATCCAGATTTAGACCATACGGCTCACATTCCATCTAAGGGGAAAATTTATTCATCCCAGATACCTAAGGTATCAAAAGGATTGCGTTCTGGCGGGACTCTTTCCATGTTATCGAGCCGTAAGTGACTTGGTATCTCCCAAAAATTTTTGTACACATCTGGACGTCGCGAGGAGTACAGCTTTCTGCATGGCCTTATAGAGATGATCATTTAGATCCAGCTGTATTATATTCTCTAGAAGGTTTTTGGGAGTAACACCAATAGTAGATAGAATAATAGGTACTGTCTGGGTACTTCCCAGACATTCTCCATTGTCGCCTGATTTGTATTTGTAGATCTCTGTACTTGGCGATTTATTCGATGTATTTAACACGAAAATTAGTGGTGTTGGGTATCGCCACATTAATAAGTATTGTTTGCCTAGTAATTGTATTAACTAGTACAAGATATGGTCTATTGTACTACTGGTTGGTATGTAAGCACAGTGCGGTCCCAATGTAGCTTGTAGTTGTCATTTTCAAGCATTCTGTCAGGGACGTATTGATAATAAGGAGTATGGTCAGTTTGGAGAAGTCTCAGTTTGTGAGCTAGTTCTAAGTGAATAATCTTTCCTACTGAGTTATGTCGTTCTTTATAATCAGTAGCGACAAACTACTGGCAGCGACCAATAAGATGTTGGACGGTTTCTTGGGCTTGGTATCCATATCAGCATTTGTCATTTTGGACTTAAGGATCTTTAACAATATATTTCAAGTAATTTTTTGTTGGAATAACCTGATCCTGAATGGCGAATAGGAAACCCTTAGTCTCGGGAAACGTCTTTCCTGATGTCAATCGATAGTTCGACACTGTATTATCTACATATTCTTGGCTGATCTCATTGAGATGTCGCCCATGCAGAGGTTTACTCATCCAGGTGCGCATTTTTTCTTGTTTAGTCAGATAGTTTATGCGCATTTGTTGTTCCCTCAGTTTAAGCGGCGTTGTATCATCTACTCCACAAATTGTTTGATATAAAGTAGATGTCTCAGCCTGTACCTGGGAATAAGTTTTTAAATTAGTATAATGTTTATCTAGTTGCTCACCTACGTCCATAAGTCTTCCTCCCCCTTGATACCGCGGTAATATTGTTCTCTCTACTGTACTGCATGGATAGTGCTTTTGCGCCTTTGTGAAAAGTTTTCTTACTTTTCGTGAAGATCTCCTATATCTGTTTTTGACCACTTTAAAATACCAAACGAGTAGTTCATTGCGGAATAGGCGTACGTATTTATTGCGTTAAACAAAGTTTTACTGTTAAGATATGACTTATTTAGTTGTCTTACTCTTCGTACGAACTCCGAAGTTAGTTGGGTTTATATTTGTTTATGGTCAATTTTCCGCGCTTGCTTTACTCCGAAATATTTGTACATAATATTTTTACCCATTGCCTCGATGCTTTAGCCGTCTTACATATCGAAACCTCCGGGCTGAACCTTTCCTTTGACTATATTTAATATACGGCACTTGTCTAGTCCAAAATGCATACTGATATCATTTGAGAAAGTTTCTACACTTTTTAACATCTGATCTAAGGGGTTTCGAGTGAAAGGCATTAATTTCAAATTATCCATATACAACAGATGATTAAGCTTCGCCACTTCAGTATTGTTATTTTTGATGCTAAAACCTGTGTCAGTAGAATTCAGTAGCTTAGATAGTGGGTTCATCGCTAAACAGAACCAAAGAGGACTCAACAAATCCCCCTGGAAAAGGCCGCGGTATAATAATATTTTATAATAATATTTTATTATTAAGTTATTTTATTATAACTTTCCTTGACAGAAGGGTTGTCTAGCTAATGACAATGATAATGAATGTGTGATTAGTGATTAGTAATTCACCTCTTTCTTCAGGTTTGTGCCTGATTCTGTAGTAATCGCTAGTGTTAATGACTATTTCGGGGACTTCGATGCAGTAAGCTACGTAAAGTAATTGTTAATTTAGCATACCGACAATCCTTACCTCCACTAATTAATTTTAACCTTTTTTCGCCAATTCAGTATCTCCGACATTATGCTAATTAAAAATTTAATGATAAAAAAGTGCTAATATATCCCTTACCATTAACGCTTTTAAAAAACTTGAACCGTCATTCTACTCAAATACATTTAAAATTAACTTGTTTTCCCATTAATATAGACTTGTTCGCCCGAAGCGCTGATAAAGTTGAGCAAAAATCCGGGCAATTACGCAATAAACCAAAATATAATTAATTAAAAAAAGGATCACCGGTCCTTCCTTCGAAATCAGTATTTTTAGGACCCTTAATGGAGCAATATCTCGGGTCAGGAGTATAAAAAGAGTTTCAATATTGGTCAGTTCAGATAAAGACCCCGTGTGACAGCTGTAGTAAATTGTACTATCGATTTCGCATTAGTCAAACTCTCGACCTCGTCGCCTCCTCCAACGACGGTCTATTTTGTATCGAAAGAGAAAAGAAACAGCATAGAGGACTAGAGGTTTTTGAAATGATTATACCTTTATTTAGCGCTAGTATTTGTCTCTATTATCCAGGGAAAAGTCGTGGGAATAATAAATTTTACATGACAGTTCAGAGAAATTGAGAAGTTCTTGTGTTGGGTTTGGTTAACAAATTGTGGCAGTTTGTGAGTTCACCGTTAACCGAATATAACTAGACAGGAAAATTGGGGAGTTATTTTGTAGGAATAGAGTTTTATTTGCAATTTCGTTAAACTTAAAATGACACTTACAATGAAAGTAATAAAAGAAAAGCAATCCTTGGTTCTAATAAATCAGGAATTATAAATAAGTACCTTTTTATAAGAATGAAGTACAGTTTTCTTTACTTTTATGTAGAAATTCTATTTTTATATGAAAAATACTTAATTTGTTGTTTTACTTAATAGCAAACAATATAAAGATGGCTTTTGAATCATATTATAGGTATATAATATATTGGCTGACTAGAAAACCACTGCTCAAAATCGCTGTGAACTTTAAGCAAACTTTAACCATCACATGAGCAGAATCAATGTGTATTTATTATTTTGAAGTTCAAAAGGCCATTAATTTAATTTAAATGCCATAATTAAGATAGAAGGTTTTACGTCTGCAGAAGTAAAAATTACGTAAAAAGTGCATGGTGTAAATATTAACAGCATTTGACTGGGACTACAACACTTCGTTGACAAGACTAACTCGTTGAGCAACGTTGTATAAAAATAAACATCGAGATAATTAGAGTTTGGACTCTAGCTTGCAGTAATACGGGTTATATGGTAAACCAGCCAAACTTCTACATATCAGTGGACACGAACTCCCTGATGAGTACATTGAAATCTTAGAAACAACCCCAATAAATATCGCAGCCAGCAACTGCACGCCAAAATCGCTGATTAAGGGCCGTTCCTAATGTATGGCTGGTAACTCTTGAAGTATCTCCTTCGACGTGTTTGGCATGGCTTACCTAAAATTCCTCTTGTGCGCCTCTTAACGCATCGTCCATACAAACACGCCACTTTCTGAACCCCAGCTCCTTAGTAGTCCACTAATTTTCCACATAAAACATCAATTATCACGTTTTATCACACCCACACTACTCTGCAAAAAACAGAGTACCCTTTCTTTGAAGAGGCGTAAAGCCTGAACAAGGTTAAAACTCTGGCTCAATTCAGTAAATTCACTCCTCAGCTGTTTTTGCATATTGTATGGTCTCCTTGTTTTGTGATTGTCACTATAATTCCCTTCATCCGTTCTTTGGGCATTATTTCTTTGCTCCATATGTTCTGTATTAGCTTAAATATCTGTCTGTATATAAACTTTACATTTAACATTTCAATCATTGCTTTTAAAAGTACATGAATGATGATCAATGTACAAATTATTTTACTATAAATTTAAAAAAGTTAGATAAATTTTCTAATAAGGCAAAAACGAAAAAGCTTGTACGTATATTTAAAAAATAGATTCAGTCATACAAAAAACTTAAATTACATAGTAAAAGTTTTAATTATGAACATATTATTTACAGTACAACAAAAGCAACAGCCGTCACTGCCTCCTAGTCAATACTACTCTTGCTAATATAGACATATCTTCATTTGGCAAAAGATATTTGAATTTAGCTTACGTTGAGCATCATTAGCAGCCAACTCCTTGCCACAAAGGCCCAAATAACACATCGATTTAACTCGTTTAGAAATGTGCATTCTGGCAGAATATTTAAATGAAAGCACGGCAATATCGGTAGCAGTTTACAAGCTTGTAACTAATTTCGTGTTAAAGCTACCTGGCGTTTTAGGCAATTGGTGCACACCCCTGACACGCTGCATGGTGAGCATCCATACGAGGGAGGTTATGGAAATTTA